TTAACCATTTGTGACATTTTAGAGAGGGATAAAAGCTAGTTTTTGGATTGTTCCTTTTTTATTACTTTGATTCTTTCATTTGATATTTAAGTATCAAAATTTAATCGTTTAAACCGCCCGACCGATGCGAAACGAGACGCAGGATAAATATTAATAATGTTAACGATACTTTTATAAAATACAGGTGGTTGTATTGTTTAAAATTAATTTTATCTTCAAGCGTTCTATAATTAAAGCTTTAAAAATAATCTAGACCAAAATCCGTTAACCCTATTTAACCTCACTTTATACTTTTCATAATTGTTATTATAATTGTTATTACGCTTTAAGTATCAAATAAAACTGTGCCTTGAAAATAAAATGCCATTCGGCTGAGACGTGTCTTTTTGTGCTCAAACTTTGAGCTCAGCACAAATAGACTCACTTATGACCTAAATAACTATTATGAATTTAAATTTGTGGGCATTAGAATTCAATGACCAAGTACTTTGTATTTGTTATTTTTGTGGGTATAACTTATAAGCAGTGTTTTATTATTTCGATGTGCCATGGCCTGGGAGATATTGATATTAATATTGACATTGACAATAGTATTGATATTGATATTTATATTAATATTGATATTGATATTGTTATCACGTTAATTTGTGCATTTAACGTGTATGGTTTTCACAGTAGAATAAATTAAAAAATAAACAAATTCACACAGTAGCATAAATTCAAAATTTGAAACGACAAATCCGCACTGTAATTCATAAGTTCATAAATTTTGCACAGTGCCTAAACATTTAATAATTGTGGGAAAATACGCACAGTATAGTGTATATATAAAAAATGGTTGGACAAATTTTGAAAATTTTCAAAATTTCCTACATTTTTTAAATTTCCAAAATTTGTAACACTTTTTAAAATTTTTTAATTTTTTAGAAAATTTTTTTTTTCCAAAATTGTCAATATTTTTAAAGTTTCAATTCTCACACTGGCAATTTAAAAACCAACCAAGATTTTGTTTACACAATGTGTAATACACATACTTCGTGAGTTGAATAACACTCATAAGTTTTTTAATTTATCAGCTTTATTTCATGCGTCCAACGTGCGTCCACTTACTGACACACTCGTTTTTAAATAATTTTTTTGTTTTTTTAACGTAATTACCTTGGTAATTTCCTAGACATTTCCATAAAATGAGAATTGATTTTAGGATTTGTCTACGTAGGCCCAGGGAAGTGATAATTTTCATGTTTTTTTTTTCAAAACCATACAAAACTCGATATCCACTAGTCTACAATTATTGTTTTTAACAAAAACCCTATTAAAATTTTCAAAGGTTTTTGACGTTCTGAATCCAAATTCGACCACAGAATTGCTTCATTACATCAGGTTTTTGAAAAATTGTTACCCAAAAGTGTAATATTTCCTCCACAAAACTGGTTACGCTATCTTTAAAAACCTTTTTGAATTTTTTCCTATCCTTTTTTTTCTTCGAGAAATTGTTAGTTTCGTCTGTTTAGTTTTGCCAAAAATTTGATTCAGCTTTTTGATCAAACATTTTAAGGATAAATTATTTATATCTAACATAAATGTTTAACATATTTAAAATAAATATATTTACCATATTTGTTTTTAGTAAGTAAACATACATTTACAAAAGGGTGAATACGACATATGTTTTTAAATAAAGGTTATCTAAAGAGATAAAAGTTGGAGAAGTTTGTTAGTTCAAACAGATCTTCTTGTGGGGACTGCGAAATAATTTTTGGTTGACTTTGGGAGTTTAAATGTGTCTGTCAGCAAGTTTTCAAGATGTATCAAGCGCTCGAACTCCCAATAACAAGTTTCTATTGGCCTTTTGCTCGCATTCGATCTTCTTGTTGATAAATTTGAGAAGAATGTAGAGATAATTTTGCAGGCAAGTTTTAGATTAAAATCTGCTAAATACGGGAATTCAGTAACGGCTGTCATCGGAAAGTTGTAACATTACGCACGGAAATGCTTACTTATCCAGTGCGAAATTTTCTTTCATTTTACGGTCGACTTATTTGTTTAATGAATAGGTATCTGTTTTATTTGCTGGGCCATAAAATATTATCTGCGTTATTAAAAAGTATACGGTGAACGATTTCATAAACTATGATCAAAGCGTTTAAACAGACACCAGTTTAATATCGTTTAGTTTTGGATTAAAAAATGTAAAATCGTTTTTGAAGCGTACATTTACCTATAATTATAATAGGTTAGCCGTTTTATTTTCAATATATAGTTTGGCAATAACACTGTACAACAAAAATTGAATATTTTAGAAATGTTATACAGGGTGTCACCAAATAAGTTGTCATCCTTTAAGGGGATGATAGCACACGCCAAAATAAGAAAGTTTTCATCCATCATTTTTGCGGTAGTGCCATTTTTTTTAATAAAAAAATAATTAAAATTTTTATTAGTAAAGAAAAAAAATTTGGCCGCCACTGGTTGTTCCTGACCTATGACCTATGACATACGCAAAATATGCTTGCACAGTGGGCAATAATCTACATTCAATAAAAAATTACATTTGTGTCATCAATGATATGGGTGATTCTACAAAAGTTGGGCAAGTTTTGACCTCATTTTGTTTATATAGTTTTTGGAGAAAATTTAACAGTATTATGCTATGGGAACATAGATAATATAATAAATATACTGTTCCAGACCACTTTTTCAAACAGTTTCTGAAATATCTGTGTTTTCTAAATTTGAATGCAAGGGAAGTGACAAGTATACCAGGGTACTAATTAAATACTAAATTTATTGGAAAATATAAGATTTATTGCAACTTAATAATACCACACATCAGTGGCGGCTGGTGGGTTTTGGGTATACCGATATCTTAATTATAATTAAGTATTAGATATGGGACCCACACCAAATTTATGACTTAATAATGACATTAAATAAACAAGTTCTGCGCAAGTTTGCGAAAAAAAGATAACCGAAACATCGAACATAGAACTGACGACATGGAACTGACGACACGGATACAAATTTGAGATTAAAATTCGAAATTAAGTATTTTAGTGATATTTTTTATTAGTGGATGCTACTTATCAACAAATCACACATATATATATATATATGTATATATATATATATACATATATATAAATTACAATGAAATATATATACGTAAGAAAATAACTACTTTTTTTTTATCAACAAATCACAATATTTTGCAGGAATTTTGAATTTTAACATTGGACACAGAACTGACGGGTAAAAGTGAGTACAAAGGTTATCAATTTTTTAAAAGTTGCTATTATTTGAATCTGTGATAAAATATGAAAAATACATTATTTAATGTTTTATAGTTTTTAGTGAAATTAAAAAATTTAAGATAAATTGAATAAATTTTAAAATAAAATCACTCAAATATTTGGTTCAGGAGTTATGACACGCCAAGGTACTGATGTTTTGAATATTTATTATGTTTTTCTACAAACGTGCTTTTGAAAAAATACATTAAAATTGGGTGGACAAGTTAAAAAAAAAATTTTGTAATATACTAAAATATTTACAAAAAATATTAAAATACCTACTCAATATATTGACTGATGACATCAAGTTGTCCAACTTTTGTAGAATCACCCATATACTTTGTTAAAAATTATTTTTTGTTTTGCACCCAGCTATTTGTAGGTATACCTAAAAGTATACTTTGAAAAAAACAATACTTACTTTTTATTGTTAGGTATCTCGGGGTTTTAGTGGTTTTACCGTCGATTTTAAATTTCACCTTTAATTTTTTATATAAATTATTTTTTTGTGATAAAATTTCATAATTTTTTTATTAAAAAAAAGATGGTCTAATGGAAACATGACCTACTATCATCCCCCAAAAAGATGACAATTTATTAGGTGACCCCTGTATAGGAGGACCAAAATGCATGGATAAATAAACAGTTGAAAGACAATATTCGACGGGGTATTGGTGAATTTGGGATAAATTTATGTAAAAATTTAGTCAAAAATTTTGGTTTTTTGTCCAAGAAGTCGAGGAGGATTGTTGGCGGATATTGTATTTTAAGTGTAATGACAATATTTAAATTTTATTTTGTTATAAAATATCATCCATAATTGAAAAAAAATGTGTTTTATTCCGTTGGGAAACCTTTAAAATAGGAATTTTGTTTTAAATAATTTTTAATTAAAATTAAAATTTGTTTTTGTGCATTTTTTATCATGCAATTAAATTATCTTTAACCCTTAACTACTCGCGCCAATTTTTGTAACATAAGTGGTCGCGCGGTGCACTAAGTGCTCCGCTCCTTAAAATGGCTATATTGCTGAATGTTTTCAATTTTAATATTACTTTTGCTTATATTCGGATGAATTAACTCTATTTTTATTAAAACACAATATTTATTTTAAAAAGAAACAAAAAGCAAATAACAAAAAATAAAACAAACAAAAAAGTTATTACTTCTACTCAGAAAAGAAGAAATCAGAATGAAATTTAGCCGTTCTATTTTTATTTGTGTATTCTTAGAAAAATGTATACCTTAAAAACCATTAGGTTTTAAATTCTATATTTTGTTGATTTAGAAATATTTTACATTGCAAAAATTGAAATTTAGTTACGTTTTAGTGAAGTATTTCTAAATCAATCTTAAGTTTTCTGTCCATAACTTTGAAATTAGTAGTTTAAACTGAATATGCCGTCGACAGTGCATGGTAGACACATCAGTCATAGGTTACATGGAAAGGGCATTTAATTCCAAGAAAACGACAAAAAGTTATAGAGGTTTTAATAAAAACGGAGCACTCAGTGCACCTGCGCGACTAGTTAAGGGTTAATGGGCTGAAACTAAACCATAATATTGCATTTAAAAGAATTTTAAACGATGATAAAAATCATGCCTAAATAAAGGTCAAGTTTGTAGAAAAATCCTACATTTTGGCTTTGTGATTTGCCTGTAAATATTTTTCAACCAATTTATTTGTAAAATGTAAAAACTACTTACCTAATTCCAATCTCGAAGATCTTTCTGACTCTGCACTCACATCAGTTCGGGTTCGATTCTAGAAAAAAAAGCAAACAATAGGAGAAAAGTCGTGCGGGCAAAAAAGGAAATAGGTATTAAAGGTCATTTATTTCTGAAGAAAGCGAATGTTTTATTGTCTGTTATTTATCGGATAATAAGAAAGCGTAGGCCCATAACAAGAATGCTATCCAGGGACCTGATTCTTAAGGGATCAAACGTAAATATGTTTGTTATCAATATCATAGCTATACCTAACGTAATAATGAAAAATATATTCGTCCTCATAAAAACCTCCGAAAACGGTGATTTGGCATAAATATCAAAAAAATAAATGTACGTTTGGGCTTTTTATTATCCCGATGAATTATTTATTGCTTTTTGGAAAAAATAATTGAATTTAACTTTATATTCGTTATAGAGGGATTATTTATGGTAGAGATAAATCAATACAATTAATACTACAAAAATAATAATGTTAAAAACTTAAAATTACACTGTCCTTTTTAATTAAATAATTAATAAAATGGTGAACACTCCTACCCTTATTAAATGCAAATTATATTTTAATTCAGACATTTCTCGAGTTAAAATTTGGGCAAACTGGCAAAACAAGAAAATCTAACGTATTCACGCTTTATAAATTTTCATTCTAACGGAGATTTAGGAATTCAAGGATCATCCCAAAAGTAATATCCTTTGGGAGGAGTGTTTAGAATTCGGTTAAAAAAGATTGCCCTTGCAGAAATAAAGGGCAGATTAAATTTAACATTAAGTTATTCTTTTTTGTTGGCATAAAGTCTTTGGAACGTTAAATATCTAAAAACAATTTAATATAAAAAGTAAATGGTTTTAAATCTTAGTAAAAGTCAGGTGGTTCCAGAACCCACATTTATATCTACTACGTACGTGAGTAGAAAGCTGAAAATAACTTTCGTTTTTTTGTTTTTTTAGTTTTTAGTGGTTGTTTTCAAATGTTATATATTTTTTGCAAAGAAAACAAATTTAATTACGCAGTAATATACAGGGTGTTTAACACGCATGTAAATAATAATTTAGTCATATATGTATGTCAATGTTAATTATTAGAAAATACTTTTTTGTGAAATATTGTATTGATCTTAAAGTATTTGCCAAACAAATATTATCGAAGACGGTGAACTTTAAATATAATTTACAGTCATCAAGATTATTAAGGGGCAAACTTTTGTAATTAGTACAAGAACTTTTAAAGATGAAAAAGTTGAAAAGTTTGGTCTTAAGTTTAAAAAATCTTTGTAAAATTTAAAATGAGTTGCATTGCTCGAACTTAAAAGAAGGCTTTCAATAACGAATAAAACGGAACCGCTTCATTTAATACCTGTTTTGATTGTTATTTAAGACAAATTTTACTAAATGGCTTTTATGCATTTATTAAAAAAGTTTGAAAGCAATTTACTTTTCATTTATTTTTTTACTTCGCCTTATCATCCACAATTCTTAATTTATTTTATTAATATTTTATTGCTTTCGGTGGTAAAATTAAAAAAATATATATAAAATGTTAAATATTGTAACTGTTTAGAGACTTTTAATAAAGATGTATGAACGGCTAACAGGTGTCAGTCGGGCTTTGGGGTGTATAGTTGTATATTAAGTATCAAATAACAATAATAAGAAAAATAAAACCAAATAATAATTCTACCAGCTAAGAATAGGATTTATCAAATCTTTACATTAACAGAGCCTTAATAGTGCTTAAGCTTCATAGACAAAAACTTGTCCAAGACAATTGTTAAGTTTTCCCAAAAGTAAAATTACTATACGAACCTACCAAAAACTAAACGATTCGTAGGAGTTTTCCTTGACTAATTAATTAATTAATTAATTAACCTTAAGGTTCAATTGATAGAATCGTTAAATATAATTTACAAACCACGGTCTAACAGCATTTTGTAAGCGTCATCTGGATCTGTTATTGGTAGTAGGAAAAAGCAAAACTAAAAATTGGACTTTTTGGAAATAAACAAAAACGTTTTGATTTGCAATCAAAATCCCTTAATCCATTAATAATACCTATCTTCAAAAATCATCCAAGACTTTTTATTTTATTACAAAGTATACCAGAAAACATGTAAGATGACCTTCCTAATTATGGATACAAAAAGCCCCCTTCAATATGTGTGAGTTACACGCCAACAGTGGCGAATCTTCTCAACTCTTTAATTATAGACTTCAAACAACTACACAATTAACTACCAACCTATAGGTTGGTAGTTAATTTTATAGTCGATTTTGTAAAAAAATACCAACCCTTAGTCTTTTATAAAAATTTTAAAACCGTTGGTATTTTTTTTAAATCGACACCTTGAGTGACTGGCCTAATTCGTCGTTTCAAAACTGTGAAACCTGACACAATTCCCAAAAAATGCTCGCTGGGGTGCCTACTAAACAAATATGCAAAAGATTACTTCTATATCAAAATATTTCTTGTAGGTATTTTCCAAAATAATCTAATGAAGAGAAAATGAACCTTCACCTTACCAAAGTTTTTGTTTTGAGTGCGTTCCACTAAATTCAACAGCTGTTTCGACTTCGGTCTCATCAGTGTCGGGCAACTTGGTGTAGTGGAACACACCCAAAACAAAAGACTACCTGAGCTTATATACTAAACAAGTAAGCCAACTGAGATGTAAGAACATCACGTGATCCACACCGTCTAAAGCGTTCTTGGTTGCATAGTATGTAACGATCGCGGCAAAGACAAAACAAAAACTCTGGTAATGGGTCAAAAAAGTTTCTTGGAGAAACTAAGAAAATTGAATAATTAATCCATTTAGCTAAATTGAGAGAAGTAACTTAATTAAAAATATTGTTTAAAGGTTTCACCAAAAATCATTTTTTATAAAACGAGTTTCAAGTTTTTATGATGATTTTTGTTAATGTTTTATCAAATGAATCCATTGATAGACAACCGAAATAAAGCTAATATTTTTTTAATTATATTTAAACCTGATGAAATACATGATTTCGTAAGGGACTAACTATATGAATATTTATAAAACCATTTTAAATTTATTTTTGGTCGATAAGATTTTTATTAAAAATATACCATAGGAAAAAATGTATTAAATTAAATTGTTTTTTTTTTGTTAAACTGAAAATACATTGATTACTATAAAAGGCAAAGGTTTGTTTTTAATCCAAATTACCTTTATTTTTAATATCCTTCAAAATTTGTATTAAAAACCGTAAAATTGCTGCCAATTCAGTTTATGTTCCAATTACAATTGAAGGGGTCAATGCAAGAAGTGCCTAAGTCACATTTTCAATTAAATTTACATTGTGGCTTCATCTAAGAGTGTTTCATGTAAGGTTTCAGATGGTATTTTCAAAGTGGCAGAAATATGTGTCAAATTCTACTGAATGAAATAGTCAAATTAGTAGATTTAAATTTAAAAAAAGTTTTGACCCAACCGGGGATTGAACTCAGGTCTGTCACTTGTCAAGCTGTTGTCATAACCCATTCGGCTATCAGCCGCTATTATAAAAATCAATTTATTTGTCAATAAATATTGTTCATAATATTTTAAAGTTATTATTTGTGTTGCTGTTTTGAGCTAAACTTTTTGCATCTTTATTTGTTTTTATGGGTCATTTAACCATGGAGCTTAGGTAAATGAATTTAATTCAAATAATACTTTGTTGTTGGCCTAATAAATTAGTTACTTTTAACTCTCAGAAATAGTCTAAGATGGTGACTTATCTTAAATTAGCCAAACTTTAACTATTTACGTAGTAAAAAATAACTATTTAAAAGTGAAAACGACTATTTTATTAGTAAAGAATGCTTGTACTAATTCAAATAATGGAATTTTGACTATTGCATTTTTAGAGAGCACTCGAATGTCTAAACTTTTCCTTAAATAGGACTTTTATATATAACAAAAATAAACTTCTTTAAATATTAAAAAAGATACGATTCTCCATTTTTGTTATCTAACTTTTCCGACCAATTTACAACTTGAGCACTCACTTAAGGAAAAATATTTTCCATTAACAAAGCGTTAAAAATAAAGAGGATCCAATAACAATAAGTTGGGATTGCTAGAAAGAAAGCTATTGCGCCCAAAAAACATTTTATGAGGATCTTATTCGTCGTTTTTAAGCGCGTTTAGCAACCCTGCAAAGGCATCTTCACATCACATTTACCCCGATAAACCAACATCGACAAAATAATAAAGTTTTAGCAGTTTTAACCAATTTTAAACTAGGTTAAATAGTTTGAAACAACAGTCACGGTAGAGCTGAAGCGTTTTTATGCAAGATATTTTAGGTTTTATTTGACATTAACGTTTTAATAAATTATTTTAGAGGGGACAAAATAATCAAAAAATGTTCATTTGGCTCGCGGTTTTCTACAACGTCGTACAACAATTTTTATATAAAATGTATGGTTACAAACCTCATTAGCCAGGATTTTTTAATGCATTTTAAGGTAATATATATACTATACACATGTTAACTATTTAATTAACTTAAAATACATAAATAAAAATAATAATTATTATAATTATTATATAGATATTTAGATAAAACTGTACCATGTACCAGATTTAAAAATAACTCTACAAAAGTTATAATTTAATTGATTTAGTAAAAATATCTACTCTAATTTTATAAATGTTTTTATTTAACTTTATTAAGTTAGAGTGAAAAAAAAGTTACCTAGATAAGATTGGATTTTAGAGTTAAAATAATGCATACGTTTACCCTAGATTTTAAGTCTAATATTTTTACCAGGTAGGTACTCTATAAAATTTACACGGGCAAATTTTTTGCTTTGTACACACTATAATATCAATGTATTTATTTTTTGTATAGATATATTTAAAAATGTGTGCAAAATTGTCAAAATTTCCAGTAAAAATTCCCATTGCTTATGCATGTTGAAAAAACGCAATTTATAAAATGATGGCGCGCTTAAAACTTCAGAAATGCATTAGTGTTTAACAAGATGGTGTCAGCAGCGAACTATCAAACATCCATCACAGGGAATTT